CCCCAAAACCCCAAAACCCCAAAACCCCGACTTCCAGAATCGAAACAAAGGTGGGGAGCTTAGAAATCTTAAATTGAGAGAGTGAAAGTTTTAATTATTATTATCTTAAATTACTAAATAGGTAAGGTGTTCAATAATATGGCAACAATCAAAGGATTAATGATTTTCTTATAGATAGCTTATAAAAATGGTCAGAATGAGTGTCTTAGCTGATAGCTTAAAATCCATTATTAACGCAGAAAAAGCAGGAAAGAGACAAGTAAGTCATCAACATTGAAGAGTTCTTTCCTCACCTTTTTCTATAGGTTCTCCTCAGACCCACCTCCAAAGTTCTCGTTAAGTTCCTCAGAGTCATGTAAAAGCATGGTAAGTGCCTCTTGAGTAATTAACTGTTTCTTAGGTTACATTGCTGAGTTCTCAATCGTTGACGACAAGAGAAACGGAAAGATCATCGTTGAACTCAACGGCAGACTTAACAAGTGCGGAGTCATCTCTCCAAGATACGACCTTAAACTTAAGAACTTTGAGAAGTTTATCTACAACATCCTCCCATCCAGACAGTTCGGTTATGTCATCCTCACCACCACCTTCGGAATCATGGACCACGAAGAAGCCAAGAGAAAGCACATCGGTGGCAAGGTCCTCGGCTATTTCTATTGAGACCAAACCCCTGCTTCCTTTCAATAACAAATTATATACAATCCTGCCCTCTTTTAATTATATATATATGTATTCATGTGCTAAGTAATATAAACCTCTTATTTAAACATATTTTAAGGAAATTAAGATTAATAATCAATACAGGTAATCGTTATTAAGGAAAACTCCGCTGGAGGGTTTTCTTAGTTGAGCCATTCTCTTACTTGCCTTATTAAAAAATTGCTTTGAATTAGCACTTGAGTTATGCATGCTGCTTTATTGGCCAGGATTAAAACCAATTCCAAGTTTTTACTTCCTGTTTCTACCATCACTCTACTTGCTTTTTAAATCATCTTCCTCTTAAATGTCCTTAATTGTTGATCTATAATGTATAGTTGCACTTCTTTTCTTGAAGTAGCCGCTAGTATTTGAATTGGCATGATTAATCTAGTTAAAGAATCCATAGTCTTGCTCAGAGTCCTAATCACCAAATTTATTCTCAAAGGTACCAGTGCCTGCTGGTTAAAATCCTCCATTCCTACTATTTCCATAACCAATGCCTTTGAAGTTATTCGTTACTGACCTTCTTCTTTAACTTAGAGAGCCAAGCGATTAGAATTGCTAATGAAATGATCTGCTGTCTTTTATTGACTGCTCATGAGAACTGGAGAATCTGCGCCAATACTAAGAAGATCCTCCAGTCTCAGACTTATTTCTACCGTTGAATGAAGCATAGTTATTGCCGCCGTTTGATTGATTGGCTTTTGCTCTTTTCTTTTTATACGGATTCAAATCATCTGTAATCATGTCGAAGATATTAGTCTGCATTCCACGCTAAATGGCTTTTATCAACCTAGACTAAGAACTCTATGAGTTGTTATGTGACTATTCTTTTTTCAGTTCTTCAGCCAATAGCTATTAACTAAAGAATTCTGTGACCTTGGAGCTTACATTCTTAAACCGATCTTTTTTCTTTAGATAGATAATCTCCGCATATTTCTATTCAATCTTCTTGTCTTGTCCATATCTCTTCTTGAAGCTAAAGTTTGTGTTTACCAGCTTCTCAAATTTTTCAGAATCCCCATAAACTGAGTCATTGTCATTAAATTTCTGCATAGTAGTTCGCTAGTTCTAATTGTAATGACTAGTTGTAAAGGTGCCTTGCTGATTAATCTCATTCATCAATGGCAATGGATTCGATTTGCCAGAATCCAGAAAACTGAACAGTTCAATTACATCGAGAGGTTAGTCCCAATCCTCCTCATCCTCTTCATGCTCTTAGTTCTGGCCATTCTATGCCTTATACTTATGAACATAGTCTCGATATATCCAGCTGAGCGCTCCTCTAGTCTTGAACTTTTTATTCATAGAATTAGCGAATTTCCTCTTAAAGCTCGTATCACTAATGAAAGGAAACCCTTCTTGGAAAGGATTATAAGCTGAGTTGAGCAGGTTGTTCATTACTGTTGAGAACTAAGGATTTTTGGCAATGATTTTCTAAACTTTCTCGATACTCTCCTGAGTCATGTAATGCTAATTCTATTGCTCTTGTGGCTGCACATCGGCAAGTAGCTTCTTGTGAAAAGGATCTTTGAATCCGAGATTTTTAAAAAAATCCTCACCATCAATTCCATCATCCTCTTCACCTCCATCAGCCTTGTCCTGCACATCTTCATCTATTTATGTGCTTTACAGTCTGAGTCTATTTTAGTTACTGATTTAGGTATCTCTGAAAGTGTGGCTCTAATAGAGCTGATTTTATCTTTGATGAATATTCTGAAGATGATTATTACTAGAGATAGTGTTAATTGGCTTGTCGTAGTCTTGGTCGATGTAAGAATACTCTGCGAATTCATCCTCAGTAAAGTCTACATACTGCAGCTGGTCCTTAAAGTTCAAAAGCATTTCTTCAAAGTTTAAGGTCTTAGCCTCTTTAGCTTTGCTTGTCTCTATGTAGTCTTTGTCAAACATGTTCTTCTAGTTAGTCTTTTTCTCTTCAATGAAGTTCTTACTCATCATTTCATCAGCCATTCCATAGAGTGTTTTCAAGAGCATCAAGTGCTTGGGTTCACTTTGGCTGGCACTGCTTACCATTCCAGAGTAACTAGGTCTTTCCTTGTCACCTCTATCCTGTATATTCATGTTTTACTTTGAATTCTAGTGTATATTTGTAAGGTTATCAATCATTATCAGAAATGTAGTCATCAGGAAATTTCTGATGTTGGAATAGCACTGCTGCAACTGAATGCGCTTCTTGTCTGTCAACAGATAGTTTAGCGAGTATATCAGTTGTCTCAGTCTTTTCAAGCTGCCTACGCAACGCTTGTATATGAAGTCTCTCTGTTTAATCTGCGGGTGGCTGTTTGCAGAGAGCTGCTCAGAGTGAGTCCAAAAGACATATAAGTAAAACCGTTCTATTTTGATGTATTTAAGAATAGTTATTTGCTCATTCAGCATGGCTCTAGCTTGAATCTGCTTCCCATGATATGTGAGAATGTCCATATTGCTTTAGTCAGCAGCGATTGCTGTTCCTTCCAGGATGTACAGCTCGGTCTCAACAATTTTTTCCAAAAAGTTCAAAATCTGCAGGATAGATATTTGCAGAGAATTAACAGCTAGGTCTTCTTCAAAGAATGTGGTCTAATCTTCAATTAACTACTGGAACTCTGGCTCATATATCAGTGGCTAAAACTCTTCCTCTGTTACAGTATTTTAAATAGCAGTCTAGTTGATCTGATTCTTGCTATTACGTACAAACTTTCGCTTCATTGACTGTCTTGATAGCTTCTTTTATTGTTCTATAATCTTTTGCTTGCTGGAATTACTTGCTTTGTGCTGCAACTTAGCAATTTACTATGGAAACACAGGCAAGAAAAAATGATCTACCAGCCTCTTAAGATTTTTCTTAAGATTCTTAAATTCCTTTTATTACTCTTTCTATCTGTTGAACATATTCTCATATATGGTGATTCTATCGTACTCTTTCCTAATCTTCAAATAGAAGTCTTTGTTCTAGGCTACATCTTTAGACAGTTTTTCTAGGATTTAGGCAAGTAGCTTTTGCTTTTAGAGTTTGAGCTAGTTAGCATCCAAGTTCATAGACTTAGAATGCATAAAATTTGTATGATTTATGTTGCTCACATTGTTTATCGGTAGGGCTATTTAATTTTTAGATTTAGACTGTCTGCCTGAGTTAGAGTTCCCACTGATATCCCCAGTTCCCTTCTTGTAGTTGTTGGTGTTTTACAGCTGCTAGTTTGATTGTTTCTATCCAGATGAGTAGTTTTTCTAAGATGACTGATTATCTTATCTGCTTCTAAGATTGGAATTAAATGACTGAATTTGATTACCACCACCTACTCCAAAGTTGATCTCCTTCTTACTAACGGACGCCTTCCTCAATGCTCTAGTTAAAGGATTTTCCTATTGTATTGCACTCTAATTGTTCTCTGCAAAACTTGTAACCTTCTTAGCCTGATTATTCATAGTCATAGATGAAGAGTTCTAATTTTAAATGGGGTGATTTGGACTTTGATTTAAGATGCTGGACTAGTTAGTTGACTGTCTAAAGGTATTTGGGTTATTTAAGTTATTGATTGTGTCCTAGTTTGTGTTGTTATGAAATCTTGAAGTTAAATTGACTAGGTTATTTTGAAGACCCATTCCTTGCAAGCTGAGTCGCTATTTGAAAGAATAGTCTACCATTATATTCTCAGAATAAATATACAAATTGTATATTCTTTAATTACTTTGCAGAATGGGGTTTTGGGGTTTTGGGGTTTTGGGG